CCACACTTCCTCAATTTGGCAGTGAGGATGTGGGGTGCTTCAGGGAGATGGACAGGCAGGGCTGGTTTAAATCCACCCTGCCTGATGGGCAGACAGATGTGTCCTTAAAGGGACCTTTGGACTGAACCAGCTGTCAGATCAGGTGCACAGCTGTCAGCCAGGAGACAAGCCTAGCTCTGCGTTTTACAAATGTTTAGAGATACCAATTTTTGCAGATTTTATTTTCTTTTTTTTAAAAAAAAAACAAACCCTACTTTCTTCAGTGGTTTTATGTCTAAAAAGCATATCTATATCTATATCTATTTTTAGTTTTCCTTTTCCACAAAGTCACAGTCACAGCCCTTATTAGGTGAGACTGGATCAGCAGGAGCTAAACCAGAGAGCAGATTTAGTGCTCAGTAGCTAGTACCCAGTAGCAAATAGTGCCCAACTAATCATGCATCTGCAAGGCATTATGTCCTAATGAAGTAATGATTTCCTTAGGGAGATATGTGTAGGACAACAATTAGCTTGTGTTGCTACTGTATGATTTCTAGTGAAGCTCCAAGCACCTGCTAGCTCTACCACATTGATCTGATTAATTGGTATCACATGTGATTATTTGAAACTTGCCTTGCCTTCCATAAACTTCCCTAGATCCTCATTTTAGGTGTTAGATGAGAATTCATGAGAAATCCAATATTATTTTGGGTAGCTGTAAGATTGAAGGGCCAATGTTGACTTTGCAGCAGTTCTTTAAAGACTTTTGTTGGATAGACTAGGATTTTTAAGAGGATTTCCAGTTTGCCACAAGAGATGGGTGGTACATAAGCACGTGAGTAGGCATGCTGCTCTAGGCTTCTGTCCAGTGCCACCATTTGGGCTTATTTGTTCATAGCTCCCTTTAGTTTTGTGTACATGCAGTGGAGGATTTGTATCAGAGAAAATGTTCTAACAATGGATCAGGAGATCAGTACAGCTGGAGGACACAATGAGCTTCAGGCACTGTGGGCTTTTGGTCTGATACAATCATTACTGGAGTGTTATTTGCCCTTTTATAGGGTATGAGTGTGTCAGTTTGAATTTCTTGTGCTTTTTTGCTGAAGGTTTAAATGAACATCATTTGCAATTCAAGATCTTTAAACTCCAGGCTTTGGCAGACTTAAAATATTACTTATTTTCACATGGGCATTAGTGCAGGAGTAATACTTGCAAGCTTAGGGCCTGTACAGTGTCCTAACGCAGCGCACTCTTCTGCTCTAAGCCAAGGCAATGTTTGTTGGCTGGACTTGACCGTCAAGGGAATTTCCTATGTGTGTGTGGTTTGATAAATCTGCTACCTGCTGCCATCTGTGGGATTGCTTTATTATGTGTGACTGATAAAGAGATTGTTAACTGACTTGAATTCTGATTAATTTTAGGGTGATTTTTATTCCCTGAGCTTACTGCAAGACATGATATTAGCAGGTTAGGAATGCTGTGTCTGAGGGAAGCAGCTCTTGCTGCAGAGCACGTGTGTAAACGTGGGCTGAAATATGCTCTCACGCCTTGGCTGTATTCAGCACCAAGAATAAATTCTTGCTTCCAATAGCTGTCTTGCTCGTACGATGGCTCAGGACCTGCTTTTGGCCAAGCCATTGCCATCATGACAGCCAGTCTCCATCCGGAAAGTGAGAGGTGGCAACTCTTTCTCAGGCCAATGCCGACAGCAACAAGCTAGACAGGCAACAAGGCGCTGGAGAAAGAGGAGGATGGTCTGTAGTGACCACGTCCTTCTGTGGTGGCCATGATGCTGGGTGTATGGTGTGTTGGCAGACTGGTCCTATGCAGGCTCTCATCGAGCTGTTCTCCTCCTTATGGAGACGGGGGAGGCACAGCCCAAACTCTTCTGGCTGCTATCCTGATTCAGAAAAGAGATGTCAGAAACGCTTTCTTGTGCAGCCGAGGTTGGTGAGCCAGGCTGTAACTCATAAACGGGCCAGATTCAATTTCTTTGAAGTCAGTGGGAGCTTTGCCATTAATTAAATAGCACTTGTTTTTAATTGGAACTGTTTTCTTACTCCTTTCTAACAAATTGTCTAGTACTTAAATCTGTTGCCCTGTTGCCTGAGCAGGCAGTGTTTGCTGGCCTTACTAACAGGTTAGTCTTCAGGTAAAGAACATTTTCCAAACAGACATAGCTATGTCTTTTGCCTGCAAGACACGTGTCATGGCTTTGATGTTGTGATAATCTGCTGTAAATATTTATTTTCCAGTAAATATACAGAAAAGAAAAGGAGATGAACTGTTATGTTTTTCCTCTCCTGACCTCTGAGGTCACTTCAAAATGACAAAGAAGGACAATTGTTTAGAAGAGAATGCATTGAAATGCAGTCACTGATAAACATTGCCTTTTAACTGGTTTACTCATTATCAGTTGTACCTCCAAGAAAGCTCTACGTGTGTTTACTAAGAAAGGCTTTACTTTCCTTTCATCACTGCCTTCCTCTCAGCTGAGTCACTCCAATTCCTTTCTATCCACAACCATGTAAAAAATGACATGTGGAAGAGTAGCTTCAAAGGAAAACTGGTCCTACATGGTTGAGCATACAAGCATGAGTACTTTTATGATTCTTCATTGAAATGCAACAGGACAATTTGTTATCAAGCATTACTTTGAAATCTGCTTCTCTCTGCACCGATTCCTCAAAACCAGAACATTAGTTCTGAACCTAATATTTTTGGTGACTGAGACATGATGGACACTGCAAAAGTAACAGAATTGCTCTGAATGCTTGGACCTGCAAGTCTAATTCCAATTTAATGTTTTCTACAAAATTTCAGACTGCATTTTTGTGAAAATTAGTATAGCCCCTATCCCACATGCTTCAGAAAGTGGCTTTTTCATGATGGAAATCCTTTCTTTTCCCAGGGAAAAAGGACAATGTTTTTGTACAAACGTGGATGAAACATTAAGTTTTGTTTGCACAAATATAGACCTACTATGTTTAAAACATTTACACCTTAAAGACAAAGGTGAAAGGCTAAAATTATCTGGACTAGAACATTTTATTTATTTTTTTTTAAGAAGAGAGTGTTGTAAAACCTTCAGAAATTTTTAGGTTCATTTGCAAGCCATAAGCCAAATTACTCTGACATAGTGCCTGTGTTCTGCACGGATCTGATGTGACAAGTTCAAACAACTGTATCAATTTTTTTGTCCCGGTGACTTAGAGAAGACCTTTTCCACCAAGCACTTTGCCTTTTTGTTCCTGGAGCTCTGTGGCAGCTGCTGTTGTTCTGCTCAAGCATCTAGAGATCCTTTGCTAAGCTGCTGAAAGGTTCTGGGTTTTGTTGTCGACGCTGTATCACAGAAATCCTGATGTGGAGTTAGTTCCAACAAAAAAACCTTAAAAAAAACCCCCAAAACACAAAACAAAGAGACAACCTGTCCTACTCCCATAAAAATTTCTTGCCACTCTCTTCCTTTGTTCATTGTTGTCACTGTGGGAGCAGCTGTGGAGTTGCCTGCTCTATTTTCTGTGCTACTGGCCCAGGAATCAAAGTGGAATGTCTTTGTGGGTTCTTGGATCTCTAAGAAGAGATTAATATGGGTTTAAATGAGTTTTATAGATTATTTTTGCATATTATAAATGTGAGGTTACACTTGTGAATGAGAAGGTTGTGGGTTTTTTTAATATACATTTGAAATGTATTTAGCAGCATACATATGATCCTGGAATGAATAGTGCTGTTCCTGCTAGAGGGGCTGGGATCTTCAGGAGTTGATGCCAGAAGCACAGCTTATTAAATACTTAAGGAAATCAAAGCAATTAACATTTAAATCCAGATTTTCTGGAGAAGCATCCTTGTCTCTTGAACTCCTCTGTAAAAGCTGGATGAGTTGTAAACATGACATTGGGTTCACAGGTTTTGTTGGAGCTTGCGTTGCCTCTCCATCCTGAGGCCACCTGTGTTTGTTGCACCCTTGCTCACACATGAGTTATTGCATGACCAGTGGTGTGTATGTCACTTTTCTTGTTCAGAGGGAGGAATAAGGGAATGTATCTCCTCAGGAAGTAGAGATGGCTGTCCCAAAGTGACCTTTTAAACACAAGCACTAGGAAGAGCACCCTGGAAGCTGCTGGCTCTTCAGTCTGTAGATGTCCTTCTCTCTTCCTGAATGGAAACATATCTTCTCTGGTGTATTCTCACCAGTAACTTACAGAGAAACACAGAAATCTGGAGCTATCTATCTTCTGATCTGACCCTAATACTTGTATTCCTTTAATTCAGCTGGATGATTTCTCATTAACTATACAGATGATGTTCACACTGCAAGCAGTAAGATAAGAACCAAGTGACCTAATAGTCAAAGATATGGGACCACTAGTGATACTAATACCAAGAACATTTTTTTTTTTTTAATCAGATTCCTTATTTACATTTCCAAGACCTGCCTCTACTGATCTCAACACTGAAACCCTTCTGATTTTAGTGGGAGCAGTGCCTGACTTTAACTATTAAAGCACGTATTATCTCGGCGGTTGCTCTGACTCTGCAGATGCCTAAGCACTGGAGAGAGTCGTGCCTGCCATCTGGCCAGGCATGGCAGGTGGCTGTGAGGTCTTTGGTGTTTCCTCAGCAAATATTCATTTCAGTAGAAAAATGCCTAAGCTGCCAGGGAGGTCCCCATGCCCACTGTGTTTGTTGTTGCTGTTTTCTCCATCACAGAGCACCCTTCACGCCGTCACCTGTCATGAGAAGGTGGTGGCTGTCCGGAAAGATCACACAGAATCGCTGGGAATGACTGTAGCAGGCGGGGCATCTAACTGGGAATGGGATTTGCCTATCTATGTGATAAGTGTCGAACCTGGAGGAGTTATCAGCAGAGACAGCAGGATAAAAACAGGTAATAAGAGGGGATTTTTAAAGCCTGCTTTAATTCAAAGGCTTCCTTTGAAAAACAGAGGGACAGTGAAAGAGCATCACATCCCAACACCTTCAGCCATCCTACAGATTTTGGGATGCATCAGATTAGAGGATCTCAAGTCAGCTACCAGCAAAGGTATAATATGCAGCGGTAACACCTCTGTGAAGTGGGATGTAGCCATATTCGGGTAGGAAAAAAAAAATAGTTTTTCACAGGAAAATGAGCTTGCGCCACCATCAACTAACTACTGAAATCTTCATTGTGCAACCTTCAGGGGTTTTTGATATAGTATTTTGTGCTTGTTTGTCATATCATTCATGGCTTTGAAAAAAATATAAAGGGGCAGAATTCCCATCATATATGAAGCAATGTTAGTGCCTTGTGGCTCAATATCATGTCTGGAAACACTGACTTCATAACTCCATTTGGTTCTTGATGTAACAGAGTGAGAAATTTAATAACTTCACCCCCTCTGCATTAATAAGTCTTTAGAGTAAGGCAAGAAGCATATTTTATCAGTGGGTTTTTACTGGAATAGACAGGCAGCAGAGGAATGGTGAAACTCTCAGTTTTCAGGATGCTACTTCTCCAAGATTCAAGTACCTTGGTATCCTGCATCCAGCAACCACACAGGCCCCTGGGCCCCTGCCCTTCGTCCCCTACACTCAGCTTCAGCCTGGTTGCTGCCCAGAAGCTGGAGGGAAATCCTGAGCTCAAGGGAAGTGAAGGCACCCAAAAGTGGGGCAGAACGGCTGCAGCCCAAGTGAGCCCCATGAGTGGCACCAGCACACAGGGGAGCCTCCCTTTTGCAGGAGCTATGGCTGCTCATCAAAACCCATGTAAGAACATGACAACAGGAGCAAACCAGCAGGTTTCCTCTTTCCTCCTGCTGGGAAATGACTGCCTCTCAGTGGGATACGTTTTCCAAAAAATATTCATCATGAGGCAGCATGGAAAATTCAGCCTAGTTAATTTGATAAAATTAGAAACAAATGAATACGTGATGTTATAACAGCGCCATAAGCCTCCACAGTTTAGAGCAGCCCTTAGGCTGTTGTCTGTCTCATCGGGCAGACCACAAGAAGAGGTTAATGTTCATGTCGTGCTGCCTGGACTGCTGGTGAACATAGTCCCTGCCTGGAGGAACATGCAGGCGAAGCGCAGAGGGCACCCAGGGAAGTCCTGGCGCTGGAGTGTGCTGCGGAGGGTAGCAGAGCACTTGGCACTCTGGATGCTTGCATGATATTAATGATGTCTTTATTGTTCTCCCTGTAGTAATTGAGGTCATCTTTGCATTTTTCTCTGAAGCTGCTGTGCCTACATTATAAATAAGGCATACAGAAAGATGTTTTGGCTTGCAGCCATTCAAACAGGCATTAACATTAAAATAATAATACATTATTTCACAAAGCAAACTTAGGGAAAAGCCAGCTGGAGCAGCAGTCCTCAGCTTAGGGAGCACTGGGAGAAAACCACCTTCAAGCTTTCAGGTTTCATGCTTGGGTTGAGTACAAAAAACTGGGAGCAGGTTTTGGAGACCTGAACTAGCATCATGTGCCCATACCAAAGCTTGTTGGTGCAACAGGACTGTAGCTGTGCTGTTCGGCTCCAGTTATAGGACGTAACATCACAAGAAACCAGGACCAAAGCGTCTGTCCAGCCCGGTGATGCTCCTGTGTATGGGGATCTAGCCCCTTCTCGTATGCCTGTGGCAAGTTTACTAACATATGCTTCACATCCACATTTAATGATAAGATTAACAAAGAACCTCATCAGGCAGCAATTCTTGGCCATAGCTTTGACTAGCTTGTTCATGGGGGTGGGATCCTGGAAACACTTGTAGGGTTTTTTATCATCCATTTTATCGGTCTCAGGTGACATCCTCTTGAATGTGAACGGGATTGACCTGACGGGGGTCAGCCGGAGTGAGGCCGTCGCCCTGCTGAAAAACACCAGCTCGTCGGTGGTGCTCAAAGCCCTGGAGATGAGAACGTGTGAAGCTCAGGAGGAGCGAGGCCGCCTGCCACCCCCCGAGACTACGCAGGTGACCTCCGAGAGCAGTGAGTGGTCACCTTCCTGGGTGATGTGGCTGGGGCTGCCGCGGTAAGTCCACAGATTGCATCCTCTTGCTGAAGGGGAGTGGGAGGAAAGATTTGTATTTTCTGGCAATTCTTTCTTTTGGCTTGATTCATTGCACTGACATCTTAATTAAATCCAGGCTCTGTCGCAGACTTGACTCTAAATACCTCCCATTTGTAAATGGGTATGTGTACATGAAAAAACAGACACACAGATCCTCTTGCAAGGGAGGAAAGGATTCTCACTGTTCCAGTCTTGAAAAACATATCTGGCACTCAGGGAACGAAAGGAAAAGCTTGCAGGGATGCAGGAGTTTGCTGAACTCGGGTCTAGGCTCGACCACCCTGCAGAAAGCAGAGCTACTCAAGCTGCACAGCCCTTCTCCTTAGCCAAATCCAGCTGACTTGTTTGACTTTGCCCAGATGTTGCAAAGTGCGTGCAGTTGGCCGGTATCTCCGAATCACCTCTTTTAACCCCACCCCCGACTGAAAGAAGTACATTTGTCATACACAGGAAGCAGCTGTGTTGTTATTTCAGTAAGGAATAATAAAAGCCACGTCGCATGTCGTTAAGTTCTCTGAAACACACTTGGTGTGCAGGGTGCGTACCTGCAGCTTCAGCGACATTTTGTGAAGTATTAAATGAGGACATGTTGTGAATCTGTGAATATGCGAAGCCAGTAGCATACAGCTGAAACTGGTATTCAGTTCTAAGGAATGAAGAATTTAGCTTACAAGTTACTTTTGCCCATACTCCTAACCTGGCAGAAGTTCAGAGTGTCTCTTTCTCTTCTACAGGAGGGCATGAAAAAATGGTCTGCAGAACAGCTGGGGTTTTGCTCTAGGCACAGTGTCAGGACTCCATTTCCCAGTCTCACATAGCAGGTTAGATGCTTTCCCTCATTCTGGCTTGAGCTGTTTTGAGCTCATTCACCATGCAGGAAGGTCTGCTGTGAGGGCCAGATGTGTTTTGAGGCTTGGTCTGAGGCTAATGACTGTGTAACATGTGCTGAAGTACTGCAAGAGCAGAAGGCAGGCTGTGTGTCCATCACCCACAGATGAAAAGTTTTTCCTCCAGTGGAGAGGACTATGTCCTTATTCCGGTGAAAGAAAAGCAGTAAAAAGAAAAAAGGAATAAATGGATGGCCCATAAGGTGCTGCCCCAGGCCAGGATAAACTTTTCTCACCCAGTCTTGCTGCAGGCAGGAAGGCCCAGGGAAGTCCCCATTC